TAAATTTTTTAAGCAAGCACTTTACCAGCCACCCTATCATCGGTGGAAATCGCAACTACAACGCTGGAAGGCCTTTCAACACTGGAGCTGTAAGGAAACATATATACAAGTAAGTGCCAATAAATTTTTCTCCTTCCTTTTTCTCTATTTCGCTTAAAGCCGATCCAAAAAGACTACCTAGGTAAATTTGTATGCCAGGCATGCGTGGGTATATTGGCAAGCCCACTTCTGTATGTACATACATACATATGTTCATACCTATGTACTAACTGAGATTCAAAGCTTCTCACTATTTATATCACATGCAAACTTTTATTGTTATGTCTTTTTGGTGATCGCTTGCTCTTAAACTTATTAGTTCCAAACAAAAAAAAAGCCCTTATTAAGTAAATTGTGGTTAGGATAAGACATAGTTGCTACAACTCTTTTGCATAAGTGTAGAGCTTTCCTGAGTAGAGCTTAATCTGACTGGGCCTGCGCATTAAGATTATATAGTGGTTAGTCAATATGTGCAGGATAATTTTATTTTGCAAATTAGTTGAAGTCGGATTTGTTTTTGTTAAATTTTCATTTGTTGTATAAGAATATGTAAAAAAAAAACAGAAAAAAAAGTAAATTATCTTTAAGAAACTAGTGTAATTTATCGCTTACTGAATCTGGCTTATCTCAAAACAACAACAACTATAGTGCTAGTGTATATTTTTCTTTAAAATGAATTCAAATATAGCTTGAAGTTGTAACGATTCAATCATGTGTTAAAATTGTTAGTTTTCCTGTTGACATAGCGATGACATAGTGAGGTAGGAACAGTGTTCTTAAGACGGGATCTTCCAAATCATTTGGCTTAGAAGGTCATGGTTGGGTAGGGTTAAGAAAGCGAGTGTCAACTGCCACCTTAGACCTCGCTTGTCTGTAAGCACATTTGTTAGGCGGGTGTCTGATTCCTCAAATTTTGTTTTCTAATAGTATTTTGTTCCTTGGGAGTGCTCCCAGTTGTTTTTGTCACTTAGCTTCAGTTAGGAATCCTAATAATTAAAGTTTATGTGGACTCAGTTGAAGGATGGCAAAAAACCCACCCCACGCCGAAAGAGCTAAGGCACCAGAGGATTCCGCCCGCCGGGACCCTTCAACTGCATTTAGGTGCATCTACCTCCACCTACATACCCATGTGTTGTTACAAAAGGTATATTTATAAATACGTGTGTGGTTATCAGTGTTGCCATTTTAGCCGTTTTCCGGCTAGATTTAGCCGGTTGCAATAGCAAACAGCCGGAGAAATTTCGATTTAGCCGGCAGCCGATTTGTTAGCCGTTTTTAGCCGATTTTGCTATTTGCCATGTTTTCTTAAATTTCAAATATGTATACATGTTTCCATTTTTGACTAAGCGAACCAACATCTGTTACAAATGGCTACTAGCCTTATCGTGGAGAAAATTTTCATGTCAGGCAGGGTTGTATGAAATTGGGCCGATTTCGCTTATTTTTATTTTGAACGAAGAAGGGATTTTCTCCATAATTTCTTAATTTTAAGTGAGTGCGAAGTTTTATTCGCAAACTTAGAAAATAAAAAATTGTTTCACTGTTAAGACACTTAAGATGCGTTTGTGTTTAGTGCCAATATAGTGCCAACAAACAGAATAAATATTACATGTAGATATTGTCACTCCCAAAGGTTTAAGGTAAGGGAAAATTTGATATTTTCAGTCTTTTGGCATCATATTTTACATCAGAATTGAAGGGATTTCTGAACAATCTGACCAGTTCTTCTGTGTAACTGTAATTTTGCATCCCTGTCAACAAATGGCTCCGGTAAAACAGTAAAACTATCTGTTAGCGTTTTTCTAATTTTATTAATAAAAAACACCTTTCCTCATACTTATCGTGGCCTATTGATTTTTTTTTGTTTTACCTCTATTTTGTCATAAGCTAATGTCGAACCAGGACATTTTTTCATTATAATGCCTGTAGAACACAGTCCCGGACAAGTTCCACCGCCAGGTTCTGTAACCCGTACTCAATGCGCTCTTTGTAAACAAGAGATAAATAAGACCCATCCCTGCTATTTGTTGAAATGCAAACAACTCTTTCATAAGCTTTGCTTAGAAGGTTGGCTGGCAGAGCATGATAATTGCTTCATTTGTAACAAAACTATTAGCCAACCAGACCTTAAATTAGTTGCCGGCAATTGCTTGCCTGGATCCAAGCAAAGTACGACCAATACTGCCCCTGCGGGTCAAAGAGTTATGACTCGAAACCTCACTAAGGCTTTAAAGCAAGCTCAAGCAGAAACTTCTGTCGAGCCACAAGAGACTCGTGGTTTGGATGCGAGTGCCGCAGCGCCAGCGCAGCCACCAACCAAGCCGAAGCTCCTCCTAGAGACACAGGTACTAGAAGGAGAGATAGAACCACTCGAAACCGAAATTCTCGTCAAGGTAATGCCGTTGATAACCGAATTTTACAAGAAATGATTGAACAAACTGTGACTAGAGTTATGGCGAACTTGAACATGACCGTCAGTCAGAACGCTCACCCCAGTTCTAGCCCGACATATACCCATGCTGTACCCATATCTATCATACCTATCCGTGACACTCCTGCTTCGATGGCATCTTCTACGCTTAATAGAAAGACAGTTGACACCATGCATAAGTGGAATTTACACTTTGATGGCTCCGCGGAAGGCTTAGGAGTAGAAGAGTTTATATATAGAGTGAAATCATTGACAGATGAAACCTTAGATAGCGACTTCACTGCCATGTGTAAGCACATGCACATATTGTTTTCTGGAAAAGCCAGAGACTGGTACTGGCGGTACCATAAGCAAGTAGATCGGATAGTTTGGTCAGATATTTGCGCTTCTCTTCGGCAGCAATATAGAGACTATCGCTTTGCTTTTATGAGCAAAGAGATGATTAGGTCGTGTAAGCAAAAGCCTGGGGAATCATTTTCCTCTTTTTATGATGCTGTCGCATCACTGATTGATAAGTCCAGCGTTCAAATGGACTAACAAGAGGTTATGGAGATTTTGAAAAATACTTTGCTCCCTGAAACCGCGAAAAGCTTTTGTATCAGCCAGTACACTCAGTTGGACATTTACGTAGGTTAGTGCTCCGTTGCCGTGCAGATAGCGTTACCAAACCGAGAACAGCAGTCAATCGCCGTCAAGTCTATGCCCTGGAGGACGCTTGTCATGAACCAACAGAAGATGGTGATATTGGAGGAGAGTTGGCATCTCTTCGTAGTAGCCAATCGAAAACCAAGTGTTGGAACTGTGAGGAGTTAGGTCACATTTGGGAAAACTGCTTGGCCGAGCGTCGTATTTTTTGCTATGGATGTGGGATTCCGAATGTCTATAAGCCACAGTGCACAGCTTGTCTCCCAAAAGTATCGGAAAACCGTCAAACGGGCCGCATCCAACGCCAGCCAGATGGGCCCAGAAGCGTAAAACAGCCAGAGTTGGTTGAAAAAATAAATTCGCTACCACCTACCCCTAACCCTGTTGCCCTTCATCGTCGATCGTATGAAGAAAGGCTTAGCGACTATTTAGCGGTTAGAAATCGTATTTTTAAGGATATTCCTCTTAAATTGAGTAAGCGTACTTTGCGCTTACGAAATTTTTATGACGATATTAAGATAAACCAAAAACTCTTAGTCTCCACAATTTTTAGTAACCAGAGCGATATGCGCAGCTATGCTGAAGTTTCGTTCTTGACGTATAGAGGACTTGGTCTCTTGGATACAGGAGCGAATATAAGCTGCATCGGTTCCTCACTTGCAACAAAGGATTTTTCTAAGATACTTTCATGACAATTAATAACTCAAACATTTTCAAATCACAATTAAATGTAAATACTAAGTGCGCACATCTGTTTTATTTACTTTCATTCCCCAACTGTTTAAAAATAAGTTTATTCTATAAATAAATTCTAAATCTAAACTTTCGAAAGTATTTCATAACTCACGATGATGATTAATATTGATTTTCATGTATGATGTATTAAATGACAAAATGTAAAAATGCTTTAATGCTATATTAGAACTATAATAAAAATAAAAAGCAAAATTCAGAAATTGTCTTTTATGTAATGCCGGAGAAATTCAGCTGCGAGCATGCAGCCTGTCATACGAGTACATATGTGAACAAAAAATAACGTGTCTCATATTTTGACCCAAATAATGCAAAGAAAAATTATTCGAGCGGAAAAAAATTTAGAATAAATTTTGCATGGATTGACCCACATACACTTGTGATCAGCTAATTAAGCCAGCAACATTTTGATAAATTTTGGCTATTTTGCTTTCGTTTGTTTAATGTTTATCATTTTTCTATGAAAGCCTAGCTCATTATATAACAAACACCATATAAATCCAGATTTCAAACTTTGTGCAAAAATTATGAAAAATTGCAGTTTCAGCTACATTTTTAACTTTTTATTCCGATTTTTTGGAATTTTTTTGAGTATGCAGTTTAATAACCTATTAAATGCTGGGGTAATAATGTGCAAGTCTTAAGTTGCTAAAAAAATGCGTTGATTTTTAATAATTTCTTTTCTGACTGCATTACAAATTTTTTTCCTTACAAAATAAATTCGAAAAATATAATAAATAATGTATGAAAAAAATGCGTCATGAAGTCAGAAAAAAAATTATTAAATCAAAGCGATTTTTAGCAACTTAAGACTTGCACATTATTAACCTAGAATTTAATGGGCTATTAAACTGCATACTCAAACAAATTCTAAAATATCAGAATGAAAAGTTGAAAATCTAGCTGAAATTTTGCAGATTTTTCATAATTTTTGCACAAAGTTTGAAATCTAAATTTATGTAGTGTTTGTTATATAACGAGCTAGACGTTTATGGAAATATAATAAACATTAAATAAACAAAAGAAAAATAGCCAAAATTGATCAAAATGTTGCTGGCTTAATTAGCTGATCACAAGTGTATGTATACATATGTATAAACGTACTTTACATTTTCATATATTTTTATTTTAGATCAAACACTGACCCGCGATCCCAAACTCCTTCGCCAAACATGGGAGGAACTTACAAAGCAGATTCTTCTAGAGGCAATTCCATAACGGATCAGCGGACATATGCTCACAGCTCCATAAATAGCCAGCAATTAGATCAAGCAGGATGTGAGTAAACTATGGATTAAAAATTATTATTCATTTTCTGGTAATTGAGTAAATATACTTAAGCTTTACCATTTTTAAATATTAGTAGTCGGGACACTTCCCCGACTTATGGAAACTTTCAGAAAAAATATGGTTACAAAGCCAGGCAAAGATCCGACGGCAGTAAATTCACATCGGCCCATTAGCTTGATTTCTGTATTTTCCAAAATATTTGAAAAACTTCTGTTAAAAAAATACAACCTTCTCTAACAAGTAACCAAATAATACCACCACATCAGTTTGGGTTTCGTGAAAATCACGGCACTGCAGAACAAGTTCATAGAAATGTTTCTTGTATTAGAAAAGCATTCGAGGGGAAGCAAATCTCTTAAGCTATTGACAAAGACTGGCAGGATGGTCTTATATACGAACTAAAGGTTTCACTCCCTGCAAATACGCATGCAATTCTGGAAAGCTTTCTGTTGGGAAAAAAACTTCAGAGTCGGGCACAATTCCTTTAGAATGGGAAGTCACCCTATATATAGTCGTTTAAAGTACAAAACCGCGTATCGTCATTCTACAAAACCGTGTAACTGACATTGGCTGCCAAAAATTGCATTTGCTCACACAAGCTCTTGGCTCAATCCTTATCCATTCGTCCTGAAATATACTAGCCAGAAATGCGATTGCTTTATAAAAAAGAGAACCATTTTGAAATGTGAGTATTTTTACGCTCTAGAAAATAATTTCTACAACTTCACATACGCGGTTTTGCATTTTGCTGATACGCGGTTTTGCATTTTGTTGATACGCGGTTTTGCACTTTAAACGACGATATGCAGGTCTCCCTCAAGGCCTCGTGATTTGCCAACTGACGAAACTAACCATTTCAACGTTTGCTGATGACTATCCTAAACAATAGTTCAGACCCTAAAGCAGTGGACGGACTTTACCACTTTATTGGTAGATCTACCAACTTTTTACCTGTATTTTATTTTCTTCCATTTTTACCAACAAAGGTTAAAAATCTGCCAAAATATTCCGAAAAGAAAGCAAAAAGATTTAAATGAGCGCAGTGTATACATATTTTGTCATCGAACACACCTAAAATAAATGTGAAAAGTTAACTCTGACCATGACCAATTTAAAAGTGAAAAGCAACACTGTGCCGTAATCATGGCTGAGAGAAGCTGCTAGTGGAAAAGTCTAGCGGTCACGGCGGGTGCACTCGCGTTAGACCCGGAGCTTCAGTTTCGTGTGGTTCCAATATGTAACCACCAGACAGACAACTTCTCCACGATAATCAATAACTCTAACGAGAAATCCTTTTACTGGCACACTTAGGACAACGAACCTGACGTAATAATAACCTACTGGTCCATACAACAATATTGTGATCCAGTGTTGCGCGATACGCCAACATGCCTAACAGTTCTCAACTATCGACTGACGGCTGCTTCTATACCCTACCCTACAATCGGATTTTGGGTTGTTATTAAATCCCCTTTGACACTTTCACAGCCACCCCAGGGTCAGACCAAACTTAGATCAACTAGTATTCCATTTCACATTTTATTCAAAAATTCATCTTATAATTATATGTACCTAGTCTACTTAAACCTAACATTATCTAAATTTAATAAGCGTGTTTTTTGTTGTTGTTACACGCATACGTATTTGTATGGAGCAGTAAGCGACAAATTTTATGTGCGCTTATGAATAGTTGTCGATAAAATCAAAATTACTTGTTTCAAATGGAAATTGTTGACGCTTGTCTTTTTCACACGTTACACGTAGATGTATATGCGTGTAAAAAAACGCGGCTAGTATCTAAGAACTTCCCTAATGTGGTAATTAAAAAAAATAATCCAAAGAAAACTTTAAGTTGAATTTCAAACTATTCCAAGTACTACTTTAAGCTTAAATAGTCTTTAAAAATACAAAAGTTATATTCAACAAAACAATCTTCAACACTAAATTAATTCGACTTAGTACTAACCATTTTACGCAAAGGTACAAGAAAATGAAAGTCACGACCTACCTCAACAAGGTTTGTACATAGGCAGATATCAATGACCTGATCCGAGTATTTTGTACATACATACATAAGTGAGAATGTTGGAGTAAACACCTATCACCGCTTTTGGCGGAGAATGAAAGCAAAAAAAATATAAAGCAAAGAAACAACTGCAAAACTTACTTTGAGCGCCGCATTGATGTTCGCACGCACTGATGGAAGTTAAATTAATATATAAAATTTGTATTGTATTTGCTTTCCTCTTTTTTTAACCTTTCACTGAATTTATCTTTTTTTTTGTAATGCTTAACCGTTAAATCAAATTACATTAGTATATTTAACCAATTAAAATGAGATTTTCACAATTTTAATGGCCGAAGAGGTCATTTGTAAGTTCACCCTAGCTGTACATACTGGCACATTCGAAGAGAATGAAAGAGAAAGGAACAAACATTTAAGGAGTGCAGAGATAGAGGACTAATAACTTTTCTATGGTTTTTTATATCTGCATTAAAATATGTGGATTCAAACTAAATTTAATGCTTTCTAACGGTCTTTGTCGCGAGCAGCCCCTTAGCCGGTTTTATATTGCTGGTCCCGCCGGTGAAAATATAATTAAATTTTCAGTTCTTGGTTTTTTATCGCATTTACTATGCAAAGTAAAACTCGCCAAGTGAATTTGAATATGAAGTGTCTATGCCTTTATAGGAGGTTTGATATTGCGAGATAGAAATATTTATGTAGACATGGATCTTAAGTCTTAAAAGAACGAGTTCTTACACGTGCTTGTACAAAAACTGTTTTTCTATTCTAAGCCACACTTTATGCATATAGGTCTATGAAATTTCTAGATTCTTTTGTTTTTGTTTTTGTGACAAACATCAAGGTTTTAATTTTAAGCTTAACTAGCTGCTATGACACGTCGCAATAATTGTGAAAAAATTACGCCAAATCGAGAATACTTAGCCCTCCACGGAACGGCTGAAGTGGATTAAAGGTGAGGCCGACTTAACTGGTAGACGGTTCGGTTTCGAGCGGATAACCAAGGTAAAACTGGAAGCTCGCTGATTTTTTAGAGATGCGGTCGATAATTCTCTGGCTAATTTTATGGATCTGATCAATGATTCCATTCGCTGGAGTGTGAGTTGGATAGCGACACTCGTTGTACCCACGTGGTTCCGACGTATCCCAAGGTAGCTGGCATCCGAGATTATCGTTTGATGTTTTAGCAATCACGTATCAATTAATTTTCCGGAACGTTCTTTAAAATCGCGTCAACCGTATACGCATGTACTTTTAGGCAAATAAACTTAGGTGTATGGCGCGCGTAGAATAGGATGGACGGCTACCAGGAAAAAGAGAAAGATCTCGAGCGGAAACTGGGCATCTCTCAAAAAAAGATGTCGGTGAGACAAAATATGACGTTTTTAAAATTTTCGGTGGCTGTGTTTAGTTTCCCACGAAAAACACGGTTGACCTTAAGAGGAGTATTTCTTAGTTTATCGAAATGTTAATAGTGTGCTGGAAATAAAAACGGAGAGGATAAAAATGAGGTCTATAGGAAATAACACGAATAAATCAAACAGGTACGAAGCGAGTATGTGTTTGCAATTGACATTATTACCTTTTCAAATGCGAAATAAAGTCAATTGACATTATTACTTTATCAAATGCGAAATAAAGGCAACAACAATTTGGAAATAAAGTCATTGACGCTATTTCCTCAAATGGAAATTGCGTCAACAGTGCTTAAAGTATGTCGATTCATAGAAAAAAATGTTGTTCTTACAATAAACATTGCCCCGTAAGTGTTGTTTTTTAATAGATGAAAAAGGTTATTGCCAAATCCTCAGAGTTGTGATATTAATCCACACACAATCATGAACTACCACCAATTGATTTTATTAAAAAAAATTAAATTACGAGTATGTAAAAACACGTTGCGAAAAAGTAAACACCTGCGTATAGCTGGAATACGAGAAATATTTGAAGAAAGAGTGTAGAAATGATCCATAACTTGCAAAACGTGTTTCATTTCCACAAAAATAATGCGACCACTATTAAAATGATGAAACAGTCCATGTCCAAAAACCCCGGAGGACCACTGAAAGAATTCTGTGTTTTAAATTAGCATATTTTGAACGAATTCGGAATGTCTAAGGTGGAAAAGAAACCAACCTTTCTATAAGGAAACAATTATAGAAAAAGAATTTTCTTACACTGTATTCATGTCTCCGCCAGCAATTTGTGACGACATCATTTAAAAGCAGCTAAGGAGAATGACGACACTATTTATTAGATGGCACATTCAACGAGCCAATGTGCCAAAATGCGGGTATAAACAATTATTGATTATTTAATATCGGAACCGAGATCATTTATCAAATTATATCCTTTTTTACTGCAGACAAGTTGTTGCCCCAAAACACAGCAGAAATCTTCTAATCAGGGCTGCCAACTATCCTTAGTTTTGAAGTGCCATAAATGTGCCAAATAGAAAAATAAAAGTGCCAAAAAAGGTGTCATTCCTTTTAATCATTCACATTTAGCAATAAAATAAAGCTACATTTTCCAAACAAAAGTGCAATGATAAAATAAGATAAACCAGTTGAATAGCCTTTATAAATTAGAAAATTTTAGTTGAGAAAAAGAAGTGCACACAAAGGATTTCACAAAAATGTATTGAAATGTATTTTTTTTTACAAAAGTGCCATTTTGGCACTTTGTGGCAAATTGAAAAATTAAGTGCCATTTGAATTAACATAGGGACAAATGGCACGGTTTGAGCCAAGTTTGCATCCCTGCTTCTAATAACTTACAAATAAAAAATGTGAAATATCGAGGGCTTGAATTCATTAATACCCTCTATCTGCAATTTGCACAAAAACTAATTTGTGATTTTAGAAACCATCTGGGACTTATTACCTGGGGGGGGAGGGGGGGGGAGGGGGCGGCGTAGCGTGACGTGGTGTGTGCGTCGGTCGCGCGGCGCGCGATGTGTGTC